TGCCGAAAGAAAATGCGTTTCAATTGTTTGGAGAATACCTCAGGTCATTCAGAGGCATTCTTCAGGCTACTTAAACACATTTGCTCTCTCGGTACTCCGAAACATTCAGAACTGTTTGCCCGAGATGGCGAAGGGAGTTTTTCATTTCAAAAGATAACAAGATTTTGTAAATGCTTGTTTGTTCACTTAGTACGCTGCACGAGCTGTTGCTAGCTGCGGAAAAGCATCAGTCACTATTCGAATGTGCCTGTCAAAGGAATTGATGGATCTTTCCAGCTAACGAACTGAGCTGATCGAAAAGCAGCCGGCATGTTTTTCACAGAAATATTGACTGAACTGAGTTACAAATCCGATGAGCCGTAGATTACTGGAAGTAACTACAGCTGAGTCTAAGCCTCCTGGACACTCCCCCATTTTTCGACCATAAATGAAACGAGCAAAGTGGCATGACTAATTTCTCTGACTCAAAATATTTTGCAGATTTTGCGCAACACTTGCTAATCAAAACGTAAGCAACTCATCGAACAGGTGAAAAAATGCTCGAGCTTTTGTCATAAATTTAGTAACTGTTTAAAATTATTGGCGACGCGCACGGGGTGGGCCCGTGCGATCATGCGCTTTTGCAATATTTCGTGCTGTAATAGGACCGCTCAGAAACTCAGTAGCTAGAATGTGCGACATATTGGTCCGGGAAGTTAATGGCACAACTACGTGATACTCGGAGAGGGAATATCCCATTAAAATTCCATCTTCCAACTAGCCTAACACTAATCAATTTCCCTGCCAAAACTTTCAGAGACCGTACATGACTTGGGGACTGAGTTTGAAATCTTTAAGTTGTACTTGAGCTGGGAACATCTCTTAAAAATCCTAGCCTCTCAGCTTTCCTAGTTCCCGAGTTAGCCATTTTCCCGCCAAAAAATTTCACGGGGCCGCACGCGAGAATCACGCATCCTGGGGCTGAATCTGATAATTTTAAACTGTGCATGAGCTGGGAACAACCCCTCAGAATTTCAGCCTCCCAGCTTTCCTGGTTCCAAAGTTAGCGATTTTCGCACCAGAAACCCTCACGAGGCCATACGCAGGAACAACGAACAACTGGGAGCTAAATTTAGAATTTTTGAATTCTATGTGAATGGGGAACATAACCTCAAAATTTCATCTTTTTAGCTTTTCTGGTCCCCGAGTTAGCGATTTTCCCGGCAAAAACTTTCACCGTCTCGTACGCGAGTCTCAGATTTGCATGAGGATTGATACCGCGATCCTGGGATGGCACTTGGCGGGGGAAACCAATGGCAAAATTTTGGCAGCGGAGCTTGCTTGCTTGCCAAGCTGAAATACCCGAGCAGACGCGCGCACACACACGCCACACACACACACTTCCATACACACACTGGGGTCGTCACAATATGTGTTATTGAATTTGCTTATAAGCAACCCAGGCTGGAACGCACCAGACTCTCCTGTGCGATTATGCGTTTCTGTACTAAACTCGCTGATCGCTATTAGCAAAAATGATCCCTACGCTGTAGCCTAACACTTGGGTCATATTGGCGTGCTTCGATCCTTTTCGGCATGCAGGAGGAAGGGCGTCAGTTGGGATGAAGGTGGTGCATTATAGAACCGCACGGACATCCTGGTGCATGATTACCAGTTTTTTGCATGAAGCCCAGTCGTTTTTTCGGTAAATGCTCGCTTTGTGAAAAAGTGACAAATGTAAATTTTTTGAAAAAATGCAAATTTCCAGTTCAGGGAAAATTAGAAGTGCTGCTCGAACGGTCGTTTGTCAAAAAATCCATGTTCATCTACATATACGATTGCGGTTCAGGTCCGGATTGCGAACGATTTTTGGGTTGAGGAGCTGCTTGAGGCTGTGGTTGGGGGACTCGGCAGCTGAGTTTAAAATCTTTAGCTTGCACGTGCATAGAGAATTTCTCTGCAAGGTTTCAGCTTTCTACCTTTCCTAGTTCGCGAAATCGTTTCCCGCTAACATATTTCCTTGGGGACCCGTACGCGGGGTCTAGGCGCGTATGGGGAAAGATCTTAAAAAGGGAGGATGACATACGAGGTAGGAACATATATCCGAATTTTCAGCTTCCCAGCTTCCCTGGTTGCTGACATGAAAGTGGGTGACAAAATGCACTCGCTTCCGAACACACACACACACATAGACAGCCTTTCGACAATATACGTTTTTGCTGGCTGTAGCAGTGCCATAGCGCAGCACAGCAAAAACGCACAAAAACGCATAAGTAATTTGAGCCGCAACTGTAACTGTTTTATCAATTTTGTCATTACGGAGCGTATTTCCTTGATTGATGCACTGCTACCGGCTTCACAAGCTTTTAAGCTCTGTGTGACGAGTTCTACTAGCAATCAAGTAAATGCAGTGACTCTCCTCTTCCCCGCTCCGCTTCCCCTCCTCTCGGTCCATCTTGGTCTATTTATTTATTAATGTGTTATTTGAAACTGCTTTCATATTATGGAAGTTGGTTTAAGAGGATGAGAAGCATAGGAAAGAATGCCATGGGAATCCTCCGGCCTACACCAGCAAATCAAAACAGAGAGTCGTGCACGCACTTGAAAAACTGACAAAGCATGAATTTTTATGAGATTTTGCATCTTACGCAAATGCAAAAACGCATATTTTGTCAGTGTTTATGTGCATTCGAATTTTTGTCGCCCACTTCAGCTAAGCAACTGCTGAAGGGGTTGCCCCTAGCTTAGCGCCACCCAAACAGCTTAAAACCAACGCCTGTGTACAAATGGGTCTCAGGTGTAAACGTTTACAAAAACATGCAAATTTTCAGCAAAAAAAAAAGCGATTTCGGGAACCGAGCAGGAAAGGGTTTTGATCTTCTTCACTGGCTGAGCCGACACCCACGCCACAGAGTACTTTCTTGTACTCTTCTCATCCACAGAACTCCATACAATCGAGTTAGCTGATCAGGCTACTGCATTGGCGCTTTCCTGCTAGCCTTTTATCTCGTGGGTAGCAGTTGGCAAAGCGTTTCGCGCACCTGTTGTCGGCCATTTTGTCACGTGATCTACCGACTTCTTTTCCTCACATACATCTGTTACGTCTTTCACGCCAACTGTAATCGAATCTCTCTGCTGTTTACATGCCGCATCTATTGACACACAGTATTACCCTCTTCATTGACTGTGGCGTTACAGCTAGCTTGTTTTCTTCTGTGGCAGTGGTACTCCACGTTTCACATCCATAACATAGCACAGAACGGTGCACTAATAAGTTCTGATTTTTTGCTACGCAGGTTTGAGAAAAGTAAAGTTTGGTGAATGTAACCCACCCCATTCTTTATACATACATATGTAAAGTATTTCAGAATGATATTTTGAAAACAAAGTGTACGAATAAAAATTTCTAAATAGATATGTATGATAGCTACATCCGGTTGTGAGAGAATACTAGCAACATCACTAAAAAAAGTCCCGCACCTCGAATTTGTCTGATAACGTTATCAAATCAAACACTCTCATTTCACACATCCACAAGGAAGTTTTATGTTCGCATCAAAAAACAATCTAATAATAGCGAGCGAGAGAAAAACGGATAAAAATAACTCGAGTGAGAGGAAACAGAGCGAGGTAGAAGTAAATGGTTTCATTTAACTTCACATAAAATCGAAATTAATTTAACTAAGTTATATTTGGACAGAAGAAACTGAGAGAGAGAGAGAGAGGGACAGGGTGTGGAAAGCAGCATGCTGTGGCACGAAGACAGCGACAAATGGCTTTGGGCATTTCAGACGGCTCTTACTTATCCGTGGTTCGCTTCCGGCAGCATGAGCATAACGTTGACAATTGTTCGGATCTCGTGCTTTTCCTTCTGCTCCAGTGGTACCAAAGCTGTGCGATAAGTGAGCATTATTAGCGCGAGAACCATGCTTTCCGTCGTAACAACCAGGAGCAAAGAGATGACAACCATATTCAGGGAGGGGTTTTGTTGCTGAATCAGGTTGAGTATTTGTGTCGAACTTACACACTTCGGCCGACGTTGGGAGCTGAGGGTGCTGCGCTGCGCGATGCGACGAGCCGCATCCCATTGCGTGCCGAAATACCGCGACAGCCCCGCGAATCGTCTTCAAGCCTCACAATATCCCGTTTTGTCAGTTTACTGTAACAATAATGGTGATGGAGCAGTGGCGCGAGCGCCAATGAAATTCACACAGCAACTTTAATGAGCGGGCAATGGCGGTGGCCAGAGACCAGAAAATACAGCTAATGAACTGCCAGCACACATCATTATGATAAGGCGAAATGCTGATGGCTTGATGAGCCCGCCGCAAATCATAGCCCTCAGCCCGGGATTCAATAATCACGAGTACCGCGGCAATAGCAGCAGTGCCACCTACAGCGAATGCTGATGGCGATTGTAGTAGCACTGGTGATAAAGATGCACCTGATGATAACGACGATGACGATAACAACAAGGAGGCGAAGGATTCAGATGTACACTAGTGGCTTAGGAGCAACAGGCACATGGATAGATAGGAAGGCAGATGAGATGAGTGCAGAGGTGGGTGGTAAAGTTGATTGTGCTTAAGGCTTCTAGGATGCTCGGCCGTTAATGGTGTCGCAGAGTTATCGCGCCTTCGGGGGGATCAGAGTAATTCTCTCCCTCCCTCGCCTAGTTTGCTCCTCCCTCGCTGAAAGAGAGGAGCCCATACTTTTCTCCTCTACCTCTAGCAACATATTCGCACTTACATCACACACTTCGGATTGTTTTTGAAATTTACAGACTTCAAAGGAAATTTGAATTTTTTTAGCCACTGCAGATAGGAGCTCTTAAAAAAATTTCGCGCATGGTATGTGTCAGTTCAAT